CGCTCATTCACAGCTGAAACGGTCGATGGTGGCAAGTGGCACGCTGCCCAAATACACTCGAAATCCATAACGCATGTTTCTACCATTTCGAAATCTACTTAATCATAAAACAATGAAATATCGCATTTTAGACTGATCTGTATACATTTTTAAGAACGGGGAAAATATCTATCATCGCGAATTCAGTTGTTCGGTCTCAGAAATCCAGTGAAAGAACTTCTGATCAAAACGGACAATCATTGTCTGACTCGGGCTCATAAAAATTCATTGAATAATGTGTCAAAGCGCTTCCTCTATTCAGAAATTTGAGTAACAAAATCCAACAGGATTGAAACGTGGGCACAAGTAAAAGTGCATATGTGTACGGATGCACTCCTCGATGAGAAACAAACATAACAGAATCACCGTGATCAGTTATGAGATAGCAAAGGGTTGACGACATTCAATCATCTCGGGATCTTACCACGTATACCGGGTTTCGAACTCTCAAGTTTATTGAAGCAATGCAGATTGCACGAGGCAAATCTGTATGCCTACAGAGATTTAACCGTTCAGCTACGCATTCCTATTTTTTATCTGAATTGGTGGACTGTTAGGTCAGAACTGAGGTTGTATGATTCATGCAATTCGACTGATCTTGTGGAATGTTGTTCTGGTACGGGTCTCACTGTTTTATAACCCAGTTCCTCACGTTGGAATCACGTGATGACAAACGAATAACACCAGAACAACGGTTGATTATTCCTCGTTCTGTACTATTTTGTACGTTCTGCCGGGGCCCCGATCGTGATCTTTCGGGAATTGGGAATTGAAATCCTTATCCCTGAGCTATGATCATCACCACGGATATATGTGCTGCTTGTGATCAGTTAGCGCAATACGTTTTGTGATTAAAGACTGTGCGAAATAGAATCATCCCATAATTCAATTTTTGATGTTTCTATCTGTGAGCTTGGTTTATTTCTCTGGCAGTTGATCAATGAAGTGTAATGTGATTCACTATCATGGTACAGTTTACATTACCAATACCAATATATATACATATGTATGGTGTAGTTTAATTAGTCCTTTCAAACAGAAACCGGATGGTTTGCTGATCAAGAGTTTTGTTTTCAACTACATAGGGTAAAAACCATGTATTGACACAATAGTCAGATGTAATTACCTTCAACCAACGATGTCAGCAATGTGACGGTGGCCGCTTTACGACGTCCGGCTGGTAAATTGAGTCCAATTTTGTCCAGTTTATCTCGTAACGAACGTCCGCCATTCTTGGATTTGGCTCTAAAAAACAACAAAAAACGAATAGCAGGATTATTTTTCAGTCCATTCATTTTGGAGGAATTTAAAATAGTTACCAGTCGTGTTTGTCAATTAGTATTTTCTGTCTGTTTGGCCCTCCAAAGCCGGAAAAAGTCTATTCACAATTCCAATCCCACTCGAACGAGTAGCCCCGGCCAGAAGTAAAATAAAGTGCTACCAATCAGGCTCGTTTTGTCACCTCATTAGGGAGGATCATGGTCAGACTTGGTCACTACTCCCCGGGGTTCGGTCTTGATGTCTCCCTCCCCCCCTCCCCGCCCTGCACCCCACGGATTAAATTCATGATGTGGGGTTTTGCCCCAATCGAAACGATACACTACACTTCCTTTTCCTCTGTCAAGCTATTTGAACATGTTTTCGGGACACTGGTCTAAGGTGATTTGGGGTAACTAAGGTGGTTACAATAGTTTGATCATGAATAGTTCTTCCCTATATTTCATTGGAGAGGACGGCAAGCTTTTCTCGTCGTACGAAGTGGTCCTGATTCGAAAGGGGGACACTTATGTTAAATTAGTACTTACATTGCCGATTTTTATTTGAGGCGTTCATTTTTAGCGTTTGGGAAACTAACTACTACAAATGAAACTTTGAACCTCGTTCAGTCGGACTGCCCAGTTGTGTGACACTTTCATGTTTTCCTCAAGATTTTTCTGCTGCCACCGAAGCAAAAAGTGTACAATACTTTCCACTATTGATTGCAATGATGATAACTTCGAGGGATTTACTGAATTATTGAAATACATGAAATATGCTTTTATAATAATAATAATAATAATCTTGTTTTTCTTTCTCTTTGAGCACAGAAGGAACTACGACCAATCCAAGACTTACAAGAGAAATGCACCAACGAGAAAATGAGTGGTGATGGGATTGGGGGGGGGGCTTTGAACCAGCGACCTTCGGGTCACTTTACTGCCAACTATTTTATAATAAACCTCAATTAACGAAATCTATTTGGCTCACATACCCGATTTGGAAAATTCCCAAGATAGTTCATTTTTCAAGCTACTACCATCAGTGCATTTTCCTCAAGCTGCTTTCTCCTATCCAGACATCCGAATCAGTCGATTTAGGTGGTTGATTTTGCGGTCAACGAATATTTTGTTGCTTCCTGTCATGATTTAAACGGAGCACATCTGCCTAAAATACCACATATAAATAGACGTTTTTCGATGCAGCCCAAACAAATTGTGTAAAGATAGGAGAATGTTTAAAGCGTTTTCTTAAGAATGAGATCTAAGGTACTCAGGAGGACTTACCTTCTCAAAACACCGCCCAAAAGTGATGCGTTCAGACATTCGGGCGGGGACAAGCGTCGTTGAACCTCAGCCACAGTGACTTTGTACTTTGAAGTTGAGCTGAGCAGCGATAAGCGGCCTGGAACAGTGCAGAAGATGTCCGCTGGACACGGTCCGTGTGCGAAATCAGAACGGTTTTCTGTACTGTTTTTGTATCGAAAACCTTGACACAATGGAAATGGATAAAGAAAAACAAAAACATTTTGACTAGTGTAAATGATTATGCAGCAGTTACTTGTTGCAGAAATTAGGATTGAAAAGAGTTCCGTTTTTTCTCGCGGCAGTCCAGGTTCAAACCTTCCAATCGAGGCAGATGAATCAACAGCCATTAAAGATTTTAGCCCAGCTAACGATTCGCTATGGCAGTTGCATGCATTGCACCATTTCGCGATGGTTCAGCGTGTACGGGAACGGTTCAATACTGATACACTCATAGGTTCATAAATGCATCAATTCTCCTTATCGAATTATTCTCCTTTCCGCAGTATGTGATCAGTCGTGTAAAATGCCTCATTATTATTTACCGGATAAAAATGAGTGGGAAACGAGTAAGCAAATGCTTCAGCCACAAGTAGAATAAGAACCCTTGTGAAACACAATTTGGGGGTTTAACGAGATCGAAGAGACCGGGTGGTGGATGGGGCTGGTGGATCAGTCATGATCATAAGCTGGTTGTGAAATAGATGAACTAAAAGAACGAGGAGGATGTTCGATGTTTAAAAATAACCGATCACAATTTCCAAAGGATCGTTCGCCAAGGTAGCGAAATCTGAAGGAGGCGGACTAATCTTTAAATTATTGGGGCATCAGTGTGAAAATTTCACTCCTCAAGAAGCGTTTGTTCGTTTTGACCGAAATTTCCCACTCAGTTTTGCTACGGGGGAATACAAAGTTGGACGAGTTCTGACGGTAGGGGTCGTAGTTTCTTGTTTGGACAACGCTGTGAGATTGAGGTTTTAGGTTGACTTGGAATGTGTGAG